GAGAAAGGAGAAAGGAGAAACCCTAATCGCTGGGAAACGCAATTTGAGTTTCAGGGATCTGAGTTTCAGGGATTTGAGAGAGGAAAAGAAAGGAGAAACCCTATCGCTGGGAAACGCTTAGAGGAGGGAGGCGGAGAAGTGTAAGAACGAAGGTGTGGACGGTGAAGAATGAAGATAAAGGGGTGGGTTGGATATGGGGTGGGTGAGTAATAAATGTTTTAACTTTTTAGGGGTATTTTAGTCATTACATATGTATTTAAAGTGTGTGGGAAGATGATTTTAGGACGAGAAAAAAAGGGAAGTGGGAAGATCAATATAGGACGGAGGGAGTATCTATTATATAAGCTAAAATGTACTCCGTAGTTTATTTAAAATATTGAGTTAAAATGATTTAATTCTTGTTATTTGAATTTTAATTTTTTATTTTATTTTTATATTTTGATACAACTTATTTTAATAAAAAAACTTTATTTAATTTATTAAAATCAATTTTTATTTTGTTGTTTATTAAACATTTTTTAAAAAGATATTGAATAGTAAAGTCTTGGATTTGATCATTTAGATAATTGTGATATAAAATTGGAAAATTGATTACAACAAATAAATGGAAATAATGAGGGCAATAAAAAACATAAAGAAAAGAAGTTTAAAAGTTAAAATTGACCCAGTCATGTAAGTGTTGTGTTTCGAAATCGGTAATATAAGGTCGATAAAGTCCCTCCGATTTTGGAGATATCCAATATCTTCTGATTTCATTTCTAGATCTATTTTTTTCACCAAATATCTTTTTTTTAGAATTTTGATATCTTAAATATTGAAATCTATATTTGTTTCATCCACCAAACAGATCCTAAATGTGTTAATCTATATTTAAAAAAAATATAACAAAGATTCACTAAATTTATCTATACGGAGCATTTAGTTATAGATAATGGAATATCCTAAAAATTTATTTTTGTAACAAAATTATTGGGGAAAAAGATGAATTGTTATTGTTGATTAACTCTTTAATTAGTTATGAATGATACATAGGGAAGTCTAATCAAACTAATTGCCACCCCAAAATAAGTGGAGTTTAGTCAAATGAATTGTCATTGTCGTCTCAAAATAACAAAAATGGAGTGTAAAAAGTACTTATGATGTACTAACTTCATCTCTGAATATTTGTTCAGTTTTTATTTTTTAATTAAGATTAATAAATTTCAATTACTAATTAAAGAAAATTGATATTAAATTTTGATAAAAAAATAGTTTTATCAGATTTATTCGATAAAATATTTTTAAAATATTATTTTATGTAATCAATATACCATATAATTTTATTGTATTATAAATCAAATGTTAAAGACATGATGGACTATAAAAATCAAACGGAAGGATTCCTATGACATTGGAGTTCCATGTAATGAAATGACCCGAGGCCGTTACGGTACTTCGTTCGTAAAATTAACAATTTATACTCCCTAATTTCCCGAGTAAACCCCCCACCCGAAGTAAATTTTGACTTTGTAGTCCAAATCGACTCCAAAATCAAAATTAATTTGGGATGCAATTGAAGGGGATGGTAAGTGTGCTCGAGTTGGATGAGAGTTTATCAGGAGATAAAAACTATTAATTTTACGAACGAAACAGTATAGTAATCTCGAATCTCATGACATGAGATTATAATGTCATGGATACCGTCACAAAATCAAATTAGACAAGCAAGACAGTGGATTTTGGACCACCCTATTGGTGTGGGAGGAACTATGGCATGTGTTAGTTTTGTGGTAATTAAATGTTAATCTTCAATTAATGTCGTGTCAGTCAGTGACCTAATCCACACCCTATCTTCTCTCTTCCGGCGGCTCGGCTTCTCCCAGTCAAGCCTCAACTTTCCCCAACAATTAATAAAGCTCCATAATTCAAGCTCGTGGTCAAGCTTCCACTATTCTTTCACTAATCATTTTGTCCTCTGCGCAAATTCCCTGTTTCCAGTGGTAATTCTTCTTCTTCTTCCCGAAATGGAAGCTCATTATTTTCAAATTTGTTTGAATCTGCAGGAAGAATTGGAGTGTCCCGAGGGGGAAATGAACAGCGATCGTTACTTCTTCTGAGCGATTTGCTGTTACTATTATGCATTTTTTGTTTTGCCTCTGAGTTTCCGATCTTCGGGTTCCTCATTCAAAGTAATGAGAGAAAGGAGACTGCGTTGAGGTTTAGTGGTCTACAGGGGGCTGGAACTGCCGAATCCTCTTTCTGGGAAGCTATGGTGAGGAAACATGGATGGCAGCTTCCGGCACACACCTTTCAGGTCCGCACATTCAGTTTACCCATTTAATTTGAAGATGTTTTTCCTTTACTGCTCTTTGCTTGTTCATTATCTTGTTCGATTCAGCGGATTAAGAATTTGGTTCACTGAACCACACACTTAGCAATCTTTTCACTGTTCACAATATGTTTAAATGCTTCATCCTGATGATGACGACGACCATGATGATGATGACGGCTCACAAGAATTCAATACATTTTTTTTGAAATTTTTCAACACTTAAACACAGTGAGAGTCAAATTATACATTTTTTTGGGACAGAGAGTATTAGTTGCTTAAGATCCCAAATAATAACAAGAACACAGAAAACAGAAAAGAAGTGGACACACTCACGCACCCAAGAAGAATTTTGAGACAAGGGCTAAATCTTTTTTTTATTGTTCCAATACAAAAAACTATTCAAAACAAGTGCTAAATATAAAAAAATCTCATGTCTTGAACTTGGATCTGATTCTGAGTAACTAAATATGGAGTACCAGTTGCTCCCTACACTCACCAAAACAACCCAAAAAGCCCTTAGATATCCCGGGTGATATTCTTGTGTACAACTCCTTGTGTCTCTCCGTGGTGTAAGTGTTGTACATACACCTCCGGTGTAATCTCTGTACCCACTTCCTGTATGTGCCACCTCCAATTTATAGTAGACCCATCTTAGCTTTTCCCATCCACTAAGTTGTTGCTTTTTGAAAAATTTTGCTTCTCCATGAATGATTCTCATAGATGGATGTCAACTAGGCACCATTTTTTCCAAAGAAAATTCTCATGCATTGACTTTGATCAGTTAATACCAATACATCAAATTGTTCTTGCAGCACCGGAAGTTCTACTTCATATGCTGACTCCATTTTTTCATTTTTTTTATTATTTTTATTAATACCTACAATATATTCGACCTATAATAAAGGCATTTACCTTTTTTTCTTTATATAAATCTAACAGCTTATTGAATGTTACATTTCATGGCATTTGATATGATTTTTGTCATTAGTGACTGTTTTTTCACACATTTTAAATTAAAAGTTTGATTACTATTATATATTTTTATGTTTTAGCACACATTCAATAACTAGTCTTAGCACAACACTTCACTTTCCATTATTTTTATCTTTTAACTTTTAGGTATTGACTTAAGCACTTAAGCCTTCAACTACTTTTCCAGCTAGGCACACCAAACACAGCCCATATGGTTTGAATATCAATGAGGCAAATTTTATGGCTTTCTTAGAAATGAACCACTTTTTATGAAAATATTTTGGCAGGTCATAAAGTTATGTTCTTTCCTATTTAGTTATCTTTTGATGCTAGAGACCTCATATTGGCAATGAGTAAATTGATGTACTTGAGGAATCTTCAAACTCCAATTAATTACATATAAGTTCTCTTATGTTTCTTATTTAAGAAGACAGACTGGTATTGTTTTCTTTCAAAGTACTTTAAGTGGTTCAATGAGAATGCACTTGTGTTAAATGAACATATACAATAAGTTATCTCAAACAAGCTCAAGGTCTTCATGACTATCGTAGTTTTGGGCTTCCAATACTGTCTAAAGTTTGTTACCAATGCCATGGAGTAAAGACACTGAAAATAGGGATAGATTAATGCCATCAGGATGTTTTGGAATGTTTTTCAGTAGGTTATCAAAGTTTTAAATACGTGCTTTTGCAAGTACAATTTCTAATCTCTAACTGCTTTATATAGGTTGTTGCTATAACTGTTTTCTGCTTATTAGTGGTTGCATTTTACGCTTTCTTCTCTCCTTTCCTTGGAGGACACATTTGGGAGTATGTGCTAATTGGAGCTTATTCGCCCGCGGTATGTGGATTCACCAATCATTGCTTTAACCCGCATGGCTTTTATTATTATATTGATTATTGCTCAATATTTTAACTTAGTTTTGGTTATTTTGCTAAAAGTTTTTGTTTGTACTATTTTGTGTCAACTCCTGCTCATAGAAGGCTTACTTTGGCATCCACTGCTGATAGTTGCTTTCTCATAAACATATTGGGATGATGAGGTTTTTTGTTAAAAGATTGCCACACTATATTTTACTGCATGGCTACACTGCTGTTCAGTTTTGTTAAGAGTTACATCCAATGACCTTTTTAAATTGGATAGATGATATTTGTGTTTGCAGGCACTTCTGGTATTTGTTCTCTATGTACGGTGCACTGCAATTAACCCTGCAGATCCTGGCATAATGTCAAAGTTTGATTCTGAGATAGCAAGTACTAGCAGTACAAGTTCGAAGCATGGATTTTCTGCAAAAGATATGCCGCGGAAGTTTGATGGACGTAAAAGAGGTCAAAATGCCTCTCCTGTGTCAGTCGTAAAAAGTTCCTTTGCTGCATCTAGCTCTGTTAATAAAGGTCAAGTGGAAGCTGGCAGAACAGATGACCCAGTGATTTCTTCTAGGAGGGCATCTTGTTGTAAGAGTGGGGGGATCTTATGTGCCTTGTTTGTACATGAGGATTGTCGAAAACAGTATGGTGACCTGGAAGGTGCTAATCCTGAAGATGCTTTGTTCTGCACATTATGCAATGCTGAGGTATAAAATATGCTTCGTATTAAGTAGTACCTTTGAGGCATCTGGTGTCCTCAAATAGTATAGATAAGATATACTCCTTCTGTTCCGGAGTATTCGTCCACTTTCGTTTTGGCACATATACCAATGAACGGTGGAAACATTCTCAAATACCCTTATCCTTCACCACCCAACTAAACTGTCTCCAGACATCACAGTGCACCAGACATCAGACATGAACTGTCGCCAAGCACTAGCATGCCGTCGGCCAACCCAACTCAGCCTAACCCTCCATCATCGCTCTCCTTGGTCCCCCAATTAACCCTTTAGTTTTAAAATCAAAAAAGAAACCAAAAAAATACTCCATGATGGATCTTGAGAGTTTTATAAAGATAAAAGGCGGATGATGAAAAAGGGGAAGAAACACATGAAATTTTAAATTGATTGAATTTTCTGCAATTGACATCTGACATCTTAGATTTCTTTAGACATCAGATTTTTGAGATCTTAGATTTTCTTAACATTTGAGATCTGCAGGCTTTGGACTTTTCTTGCTTCCGATTTGAGTATTTCATCTAGACTTCTGCAGCAAAAAGCTAATTACTTCATCCTCTCTCCATGTTTCCTTGCTTCCGAAAAAGAAGACAATGTTTTCTATCTAAATGAGATCGTGTAAACTGGAAAGCAACGGAGTTATTTAGTGGAGGGTGGAATAGTCTTTTAGCTAGTTTTTTATTACTTAAAAAGGAAAGTGGACGAATACTGTGAGACAACCCAAAAAGGAATACCGGACAGTGATACGGAGGGAGTACTAAGGTAGTATAATCATTATGCTTTTCTGGATCCATCTCCTCTTATCCTTCACGTGCCACACTGCCACAACATGTCTATGAGTCAATCTAGTTTTTGGATGTTAGATTCACTGCATAGGACTTATTCCATCGACATTAGTTCATGAATAACTGTCCATTAAGGAAATTTGGGGGTTTAAAGGCTGATTTTTTTTATTTGCCATGAATTGAAAATCCCAATTGGTTTTTTGAAAGTGACAAGCAAAAGTGAAATAATTATGGCAGGGCAATTTAGTCATTTTACTATGCTTCACTTTATTGGATTGCTAAATGACCACATATGTGTGGACTAAATGTGTTTGAATAATGGTCAGATAAACATGTTCACTTTCATCGTATCGCTCTGAATAAGTAATCATCTTATCACTAAACTCCCCTTGTTCGTAGACTTTATTTTGTAGCCTTTTAAAATTATTTATTTTGCTTGCAGGTTTGCCAGTTAAGTAAACATTGTAGAAGCTGTGACAAATGTGTTGATGGATTTGATCACCATTGTCGAGTATGTCTTAGAGTGATGCTATTGCTTCTGATGAAGGCATATTTTTCTCTCCTAATTTTTTTCCCTCTCATAGCTAACAGAATTTGTTGACATTGCAGTGGCTAAATAACTGTGTCGGGCGAAANATCACTAAACTCCCCTTGTTCGTAGACTTTATTTTGTAGCCTTTTAAAATTATTTATTTTGCTTGCAGGTTTGCCAGTTAAGTAAACATTGTAGAAGCTGTGACAAATGTGTTGATGGATTTGATCACCATTGTCGAGTATGTCTTAGAGTGATGCTATTGCTTCTGATGAAGGCATATTTTTCTCTCCTAATTTTTTTCCCTCTCATAGCTAACAGAATTTGTTGACATTGCAGTGGCTAAATAACTGTGTCGGGCGAAAAAATTATGTTTCCTTTATATCTCTCATGGCCATCAGTCTAGTATGGGTATGTATGTTGTAAGGAAAATGATAATTTCAATATGAAAGGAATTCTCATCACTCTTACAGCTTGCTATTGAAGCTGGGACCGGGGTTGCTGTTCTAGTTCGGTGTTTTGTGACTAAGAAGAGGATGGAAGCTGAAATAGTTGATAGGCTAGGCAATGGTTTCTCACAGGTCCCGTTCGCAATTGTTGTGGTAATTTCCTTTTCATGTTTGATTCCCATAGGTATGTCAGGGATCTCAGTCCCATTTGACTTTAGCTTTTGTTTTCCTCCAAAATCCAAATATTTGTTCTTTTCAATTTCCTTCTCTTTATCCTTTCTATTATTTTTCCTAGTATTTTCTTGGTTCTAAATGGACTAGTACTGTCGTGGAACTCTAGAATGAAACTATCTTTGAGCTAAATGTAAATTTGTTTATTCTTACATCGTGCAGGGTGTTTGTACAGCAGTTTCATTATTGGCTTGTTTGCCCTTGGGTGAACTTTTATTTTTCCACATAATACTGATTAAAAAGGTATTCGTAGTATATTTATCTGCTTTTGCCTGCATAACTAGAATTAGCAGAATTTTGCTTTCATTGATAGTGTTTGTGACTTTGCGTAGCTATTTGATGACACTTTATTTTACACTATGTTTGGTTCAAGGAATTGAAACAGCCTCCCTACTTTCAAGTAGGGGTAAGGTTTGAGTACACACAACTCTCCCAGACCTACTCTTGAAGGATCCTTGTTGTTTGGTTCAAGGAATTTGACAAGGAAGAAAACAATTTTCCTTCCAATTTGGTGAGGAAAAAGAAAAGGTTTTTCTTTCCTTCCTAATTCCTCATACCAACCATAATGTTAAAGTGATTTAACACTATTTTTTGAATATACGGAGTATATCTTTTGTAGTAAATGGTTAAAAAAGGGGAAAAAATGAGATTTCAGATGTGGCCATTTGATGCTGAAGTAACATAACACAAAATGCTCAATTCAAAAGTTTTCCATCAAACGCTCAACTCGAGCATTTCTGGAGCAAAAAAAAAAGAAAGCTTGTATCCTTGTGATTCTTCTTTTCAATGCTATCTATACTCAGATCCAATCTTTTGTTTTATGTTAGGGAATCACTACTTATGAATTTGTAGTTGCGATGAGGGCAGCCATGAGTGAGGCTGCAGTTGGAGCATCTGTATACGAGGAGCAGGGTAACGTTCTATTCTCCCCAACAGGGTCTGCAATGACCGGTTTCAGCGGTGGAAGCTCTTTAGGCCTGCAGTATAAAGGAGCATGGTGCACCCCTCCTCGGGTTTTCATTGATTATCAAGTAACTATTGCTGTTTTTATTTGAGAGAATTGCTTAATTGGTCCCGTATTTTTTCACTATACCAGAATAGTCCCGTCGCTGGGACCATTCTCATATTTGCATCAGAATTCTGTAGTTTTTTTCCCTTTCTTTGAATCAGGAAGAAGTTGCACCACAATTAGAACCTGGAATAATTCCATCAACAGTTGATCCAGATGCAGCTGGCTTTGAGGACATTATAGGAAACAAGGCATCCAAGCGGCCCGTTAAGATCAGCGCATGGAAACTTGCAAAGCTGGACTCCAATGAAGCTATCAAAGCAGCAGCTAAAGCCCGGGCATCCTCATCCGTCCTACGCCCGATTGATAACCACCGCCATTCGGGCGTCTGCGGTTCGGAACTAAGCTACTCCAGTGAGAACATGAGTGTGGGAAGCAGTTTGAGTGGCGGAAACAGAGAGACGAGATATGAAATGAGATTTTCCCCTGTGCGGCCCAGTCAAGGAAGCGAGGCCCAAAGCATGAGTAGCTTCAGCAGCCCGAGCACCCACGTTCACAGTGCGGTCACCCTAAGCCCAATCCCACAAGCTAACAACAATTTGAGTCCACCCAATGTCCTCGTCCCAGAGATGGCCCGCATTTCTAAGCCGGCCCCCACATTACTGAGTTCAGGTAACAACCGCCCTTTATCTGTGCTCCGAGATGTTAAACGCATGTCTGTTGTGTGGGATCAGGAAGCTGGAAGGTACGTGTCCGTCCCTGTGACCACCGCAGATGGCATTAGTAAAAGACCGCCCATACTACCAAACGCGAAAGCAGGTGGTTCGGGTAGCAGCAGCAACGAGAGTTGCCAGCCCGTCACCCTCCCCCAGGCCCAGCTGCAGTCTGAGACGACAACAATTTACACGGGGGGTGGGGAGTCGATATTTTTTGGGGGTCCACAGCTGGCTTTGGCCCGGGAGTGTAGGTTGAAACGAGGTGGTGGGTCCCACCAGCTCCCCGTGTTTGTTCCTGGGGAGTCAGCAGCGGCCGCGACACAGAAGTAGTGCTTTACAAATGGGAATGAAGGAGTTAGTTGTCTTGTAAGATGGAAGAAACCTTTTGAGAGGAGGAAAAATGTGTACTGCCCTCCAGGAACCTGCAGAGCCTATATACATATATTATCTGCCAGGCTGAGGTTCCAGTGGTTTCTTTTCTTCTTCAATCAACATTGCTATTTGACTGCAGCAACTGAATTGTTTCATTCATATAAATGAAACAATGTTGTAGAAGAAAATGTTTTGACTGAAGTTGTTGAAATACTCGTTGAAATTGGCTCTTTTCTTTTCTTTTTTTAAAGAAAATATTCACACCAATATTCTTAGAATTGCACGATTTTACAGAAACACTCCACGATTTACACAAATTGACTTCTAGAATTTTTATATGTTTACATCGCTGCTCCAAGATTTTATATACTCTGTATGTTTATGTTTGTGCAGTCTATATGTTAGGGCACCGTTTTTAAACACATGTTAATGTTAGAGCAGTAATGTAAATATATGAAAATCCTAAAGAATATCACTGTCATTTATTAAATCTCCGAATATTTATGTAAAATCATGCAATTTTAGGAGTTATGATGTGACTTTTTAAATTAAGCTAGTGTTTGGAAACTAACAATTTATTTTAATTTTTGGATTTCAGTTGTAGAATTTGAATCTTAGATCTCAAATTACAGGGGGTTGAAATATTTGCACTAAATAGCACTAAAACTTAAGTCCTTTTCCTAAATTGCACTTAAATTGTTTTATTTTCTAAATATCACTTAATAATGTTCATAATGTTCATAATGTCTTGTGATGACGAATATTTACTTGAATAATGACTAATGCATAATGACTAAAAGTGTTACATTGAAAAGGAAAACACATGTAGTGCTATTTAGGTAAAGTCATTATGTTTTAGTGCTATTTAAGTAAATTTCTCGGGGGTTTATGGTTTATAATTGAGTTTTGCTGGAAATTATAAAGTTTTTACTCAATTTCTTTTTTCTTTTTTTTTGGATTTCGAAACAAGTTCTTTAGGTTATGATTGAATTTAAAAGTCAAATCTAAAATTGCAAACAGACCATAAAAAAATAAGTCTTTTTCTTTGAGATTTATCAAATAGACCATACCTTAAAAATTCATTACTTTTGAAAAATCACTACTTATAGAATAACGTAAGTCAAATATCTACCAAACCATGTTCGTGCTCATATCCAAGAGCGACGAATTTTGACTTTTAAGAGAATACCTCCATCTAATAATATTGTTTAGTGCTCCATTCCTTTCATAAAATGTTTCCTATTTTGGATTTTAAGATAAATAACGGAGTGTATATTTGTGGTTAACTTTCAAATTTAACCCTTGATGTGATGAGTAAATTACTAGAAGAAAGACCAAAGTAGGACTAAAACATTGAAAATATATACCAAAATAGAATTTCTATGTTTTTATTTTCGAAATAGGACTTAAAATGCATTTACATTACCAAACATGGTCATGTATATTACCAAAAAGTATAGTAATATGCACAAGTACAATGTCACATTATCACAGTGCGAAGTCTTATTTCGAAAAAAAACATGAAAGTTCTATTTTAGTACTTTTCTCTATGTTTTAGTCCTATTTAGTGTGATTTCTATAGATTATTATTGAAAAAGTATGATGTGATAGGTAGGGTAAGAAAAAATAGAGATAAAAATAGTTTTTAATAGAAAGTCGAAATGTTTTAAATAAAATAAAAAAAATGAAAGAGCAACTCTTTTAAGAAGGGGAGGGAATGCATGTTTTGTTCACTGCATGCAAACATCACATCCTGATTTGTTGGCAATTGCAATACAACTTGTCATGCCACATCATTTTTCCTTTTAATATTCCTCTCACTACTTTAGGGCCCGTTTAGAATTTTGGAGATATGATAAGATATGAGTTATGGAATCTGAGAAAATGATATGTATTTTAAAATTTGAAACAAATTTGTTTGGAGAGATTTGAAATTATGATTTAATTAGTGATAAACGAGGGACCCGCAACAATGTGTTTTCCTTATCCTTTTTTTTAAGTAGTGGGCCCCATATGTCATAATTTTTTTATCTACATAGTTTTAAATATAACAAATCAAATTAATTTGTTTTAATAAAAGTTACTTAGATTTATATATTTTAATTCTAGTAAGAACGTATTTCCTATAAATAAATAATTTCTATTTCGATTTCTATCCATTATAACTAAAAAATTAGACTAGAAAAAATTAAGGAACAATTATCTCAAATAATCTCACCTTTTCGCGCTCTTTCAAAAATAATCACATGTTTCACTGTCACCGGAAATAATCCCACCTTTTCGCATGTGTGCGAGTTTTGGGTCACCGTTAAAAAACTAACGGCCACTTAACGGAAGTTTTTGAAAATGCCTATTTTTTGCAAATAAATGAAAGGTGGGATTATTTTAGAAAAATTTACTTTTTACTTTTTTAGTTTTGAATTTAAAATTAATATTTTTAAAAATATAACAATACACGCTTGTTAGAGATTTGTCTAACGATTAACAAATTTTGTACTGATTTATAAAATTTATGGGTTCCATTTCGGAGAAAAAAATATTGTGTCATTTTCACAACTTTTGAATTACTATTTTGGGGAAATATTTGTATTGAATTATTAAAAAAATCACAAATTGGGTAGTTCCATTTTAGAAAGAAAATTTTATTGCAATATAAGATTATCAATAAAAATTTCATAGTGTTCATGGAAAAATTGCAATACATCAGAAAATGTAGTGAGTTATAAAAATAAAAGTTCTATTTTAGAGAAAAAAATTGTTGTGTTATTTTCACAACTATTGTAATGTTGTTTCACAAAAAATATTCATATAGAACTATCGAAAAATATTCATAAGTTTTGTAGTGCCATTTTTTTAAGAAATAATAATAATGTAGTATCAAAAAATAATTTGAAGTGCAGCTCAAGAAAAATACAGTAAAGGCAACTTACAAAACGGAGGGAGTAGTTAGTTATGAAGTTAATAAATTAGCTCTATTGTGTAGAATAATTTATTTTCTAATTATTACCATATTATTGGTTATTGAAAAAAACAATTAGTTTCACTCTAAAAACACTTAAATTTGGTATTTTTTCCAAAAAAAATAAAATAAAAATACATTTAAAGAAATTAAAAAACGAAAAAGGGAGAATTTACCTAAAATAATCCCACCTTTCATTTATTTGCGAAAAACGGGCATTTTTCAAAATTTCCGTTAAGTGACCGTTAGTTTTTTAACGGCGACCCAAAACTCGCACACATGCGGGAAGGTGGGATTACTTCTGGTGAGAGTGAAAAGTAGGATTATTTTTGAAAGAGCACTAAAAGGTGGGATTATTTGAGATAATTTTTCCAAAAATTTAATGTGTGTGAATTATGAAGTGAATATATGAAGTGGAATTTATAGATAATTTGAAATATTAAAAAAACCAAAAGATAATCAACCGTGGTATGATCCAACTGATACTTCAAGCTGAATCCAAAAAAAGTCCACCCCCAAAGATTCATGAGAAAGTTTATCCAAATTTGAACTCCGGTAAAGGCAAAAACATTAGTTCTTTGTGCGTCATTAGATTGAGAATAACTGGTATCACACCCGTGCGTTGTACGGATCTTTTTTATGTTATTAAATTTAAATCATTTTTCAATGATAAAAAATGAGATGTAATAGAAAATAAAAAAAATTCAACATCGCCAACTATCCAATAATATCCTTTCTGCAAATAAGAAATTAATAGATTTATATTAGTAAAAAAATATAAAATTGCTTATAATAAATATTTAAGAGAAGGAAAATTAATCGACTATTAATATAATTTTCCTTGTTGGTGGCACTTGCCTTTCCAAACATTTTACGTAATTTAAGATATTAAATTATTTACTCTATATAATACTAAACAAAATTAAATTCTTTCCTAAATTATAATCAAATAATTCCAATAATATTAATTAGTTACTAATTAATATACTTAGGATTAATTTTTTTATTATTCCTATTTTGGCTTATAAATATTTAATAGAAGTGAAGTTAATCGTTACCCATAATAATTTTCCTTTTTGGTGGTTCTTGCATACTCGAAATGCATTTAGTAATTTAAAATAGGAAATTATTTACTTTCTATAATACTAATTGCAATTAAGTTCTTTCATAAATTTCGAATTTTTTAATAAAATAATTCCTAAACTAAAATTAGTTACTACGTAAGGCATTTATTCACATATTAACCTTTTATTGCCTCATTCTTCATATTAAAATAATAATTGCATATTAATGCTTTATTGCTTATTTATATTTTCAAACTGCATTTATTGAATTACAATACGAAAGTATTTACTTTCTATAAAAGTAAATGCAAATAAGAGCCTAAATTATTAATTATTTACTAATTTAAATATTAAAACCCTGTGTATACTCTTTAAAATATATATGTTTGAATTATTAAAAAATAAAAAAATTGTGGATTAAATGAAATGAGTTTATAACAGATTCAATCACTGATTGTTATAAGAATGTATTCGCAAATTAAACAGTTGATACCGCAAATGTCCATATTTTAAATTAATAAATACATATTAATTATTTTTTGCCTTATTCATATCTTTAATCTCCCTTTATTGAATTAAAATATGAAACTATCACTTTCTATAATTGTAAATGCAAATAAGAAGCGGTTTCCTAAGTTTGATTTTTTTAAAAAAAGTAAAACATTGAAAATAAATGAAATAACGTTAAAATAATTTAGGTCATTCTTTTTTTAGAAAAATATATTTGCATAGATGAATATGCAATATATTTAAAGTTTAAAGAAAATACATTCTCTTCTAACATGTAAAAAAAATATATCTTGCGTTAATTATTCAAAAATTTATTCAGGGTTAAAATATTTCGAAATTAGGTGTATAATTATTCTTACCATAATTATTTTTTACAAAATTGGGTGCATAACTGTATAACTTACCTTTTTAGTTATTTTTAATTTTTGAAATCTTACGCTTTGCAATTGTATAACTTACCTTTATTTAAAACTTACGCTTTAGAATTGTAGAATAGGCTATAGACTATTATAATAAGAAGGGTTAATTTTTTTTTGAAATTAGGCGTATAATTATTCTTATCATAATTATTTTTTTTTGAAATTGGGAGTATAATTGTATAACTTACCTTTTTTTAATTATTTCCAATTTTCAAAAACTTACCATTACAATTGTATAACTTACCTTTATTACTCTGAAATTGTATAATTTATCTTTTTTAATACGTTAATTATTATAAATATAATAATTATATTA